GTGTTTTTTAGTTTGCAAGTGTTTTTTAGTTTGCAAGTGTTTTGGAGTTTCAAAGTGTTTTGGAGTTTCAAAGTGTTTTGGAGTTTGTACGTGCTTTGTCTCTAGGGGCCACCGTACCCTAGAGACAAAGCATGTACAAACTCCAAAACACTTACAAATTCCAAATAGCACGCACAAACTGCAAAACACGTACAAAATCCAAAAACACGTACAAACTCCAAAACGCGTACAAACTCCAAAACACTTAGAAAACACGTACAAAATCCAAAACACACGCAAACTCCAAAAGACTTACAAAATACAAAACACACGCAAACTCCAAATCACAACGGAAGTGCTCCAGGACGCTAGGGGCAGTGTTGAGCTCGATTTGCAAAATAAACGGCAAGTTTGTTGCAAACACATGGGCTGTATGGGACTGTCTAGTCTCGGTCGTGCTTCCCAGGTTGCCTAGCAACCATGATACTAACCGCTGGAAACGTGTCATACAACTTTGACAGAAATGAAGGAGAACATATTTTGTTCATTTGTTTGTTTGTTTGTTTCTACAAGAGCTTTGTGTGATTTGATAAGTATCTGAGGCTGAGACCACAGGACTGTAAAACATGATTTTTGGGCTTCATTTCTGTACTGAACAGTCATTTAAGATTCGTTAGTAAATAACAATAAGCTAATGTTGTTCATGAGACTAAAGTCATATCACATTGGTAATGTAAATATAATATGGCCAATATTATAGTTATTATATTAATCATTATTAGCTATTACAGCAGTGAACACGAACTCTGTGTCAAATACTGAGCTTCAGTACAGATTCAAGTTGCAGTTATTTATATGTCTTATCACCTTAAATCTTCACTCAAGACAAGTATCTTTGACAGTGCATATATAGGTGTATCATATATAAGAGACAAATGTTGTTCCTTCCCAGTCCCAGTGCACTTGTTAGCATGTTTTTGTTCGTGCAACTGGTCCGTTGGGTTATTGTCTCCCCAGAAACATTTCTGTTGTGTCTTGTGTGCTTTTGCAACGTTTTTCTTTTTGCAGCATTTTTCTTTTTGCAGCGTTTTTCTTTTTGCAAGTGTTTTCTGAAGTTGCAGTCCGTTTGGCCTCTCAGGGCCACCGTAATAAGAAGAGGAAAAGGATCATATGAAAAACGAAAATGCCTGTGGCATTAAAAGTGAGATTGGCTTCTCTCAGTTGTGATGATAAACTGCAGAAGTTATTATGCATCTATATTTTTCATTTGTCTTCTGACTGGAAAGATAGACACATTATGCCATTATTTAAACTATTTAACTTGTCAAGATCTCTTTACATTTACTAAACCTCAGTTAAGCCAGATGCATAAGTTTATTATGATGACCTCTAGTGGAAGCTACCAAACAAGGCACACCATTGTGTAGAAGTCTTGAGCCACCTCCTTTTTAAAAAAATCTGTATAGTTTCTTAGAAAAATGTTAATAATTCCATACATTTTCTATTTGTAATTCATCACTAAATCCATCAGTTTTAACAAGATGAAGAACACAACTGACTGAAATGCAGGTGCAAACAATGACAGAGCCTCCACCGTGTTTTTAAGATGGCTGTACACAATCAGTGTCATACCTCTCTCCTGACCTTTGCATAAACTGACAATTATTTGAACCAAAACTTTCAGATTTGGATTCATCACTCCATTCATTGCTACTGATTTTAAGTCCAGTTCTTGTGTAATGTGGCATACCACCTGTTTTCCTCCCTTAAGAATGGCTTCTTAACAGCCAGCCTTCCACTGAGACCATTTCTGACGAAGCTTTAGTGAGCAGTAGATGAACCAGATGCATCTCTCAGGTTCTGTCAGGTCTTTGCTTTTTTCCTGTTTCTTAAGATACTTTTCTTCTGCTGCAGAAGAACTTCTTTTGTCCTCCATTTGTCGTGTTTCCTTAAAATTCTTAGGACACAGTGCGGCAAGTTTTCCACTAATAGCTCTTTCTGAATCACCCTGTTGTAGTACAATTTTTACATCTGTCAACTGTGTTTGGTGTTTTCCATAGATTAGACTAAAGAAATTGGAACAGACAGGCTGCTAGTAACAAAGTGTGTAAAGATATAATTTAAAATTGGTTCTTCACCAAGTTTTCTCTGTATTTCAATGTGTAGAGACAGCACTGATTCACCCCTCGAGTTTGCTGCCTTTTTTGTGCTTGAATGATTTATTCCTCTGAAAATGGTCAGGTACAAGGACTGGACTAAAAATGGGTGTAAAAAGAGCCAGTGCCCAAAAGAAAACTCTGATACCAACTTTAGAAAGCTGGCTCCTTAAAGGCAAAATATAAAGAAATTAAGGGTGGTTCAAGACCTTTGCACGGTGTTGTAACTGAGTTTAGATGAAGACATGATTTTGACTGTCTTGTCAAACTTAGGCTACAGCTAAGCTTTATTTGAAAAAATGTTTGATCACAACATGAACTTTTATTTTGGTTTTTCATTTTGTAGACTTTTTTAAAGGGTTTAAGAAAGTATGGAATGATCTTTAAACTCACTTCACAGTTTTCTTGTATCCTCTTCTTTTTGGTCGATTTTGGTATTGTCACAACTCCGTTCTTAGAAACACAAAATTGAAAATATTCAAGAATAATTAGAATTTCAGTATACACAATATTTTCACACCAGAGATGGAAATCATGTGATGAGCGTGACAACCTGAATACTCCAGTGGATGCAAATCTGAGCTGGCGTGCGTCTGTGCTTTTCCGCTATCTGGAGAACAGTGGGATTGTTGAAGACTTGACCCTTGGCCAGAGGACTATACCCTTCAAACACAATTCCCTCCTGACGACAGTACTGAATCAGGTGATTTGGCTGCTGGAAAGGATGGTACTCAACCTGATCAGTTAAAACAGCATATAAAACAATAAAGTCAATGAGCTGAAGGAAGTTTTATGGCATAAAGAAAGTCAACCTGAGTATCTTTGCACAGATTCTAGCTTAAATAAATGCTAAATGGATAAAACTACCTGGTTAACATGTGGTATCACAGTACAGTCTTCTTTCAGCTGTTCCAGGTGGTGGACCAGAAAATTGCTGACCCCAATAGCACGGCACACACCTATATTAGCAAACAGAGATATGTATGCTTTGTGAAATAAACTCTTTTACTACTATTAAGTGATATGTATTATCATCACTACTTCAGTGATTATCCAGCTGTAAAACTGAAGCTAGTCTTTTAATTAAATTATGAACATAATTCCCAAGGATAAAATT